CTAAATACGACCTTAATTGGCTTGATCCAACCACTGCAGCACAAAAGTTATATTGTTAATAACGGATACCGAAAAGCAAGAAAAAAAAAGGAGGGAAAGAAAAAAGAAATAAATGTATAAATATTTTAAAAACTGGTCATGATAATTTACTTTTTTTACCTTTCGCTATCTTATTTTTTTATTTTTATTCGATCACTTTTGCTGTAGCTTTCGAGTCTCGAGTGTTTTTTGGATTATTCACTTTTTCCTTTTTGGCATTTACTAATTTGGATGAGTATTCAGTATTCAGTGATAGGACGCCCGAACTGAGTTTATCTTGAACACTCAGGAGTGTGTGAACAAAATTTTCTTATCTTTGCTATCATCGTTATTCTAGAGAAGTAGCTTGTTATTTTTGAAGCTAGCTTTTTACTGAGATGGTGTTGGCTTTACTAGTATTTTTCGTATATTGGCTTGAGGATCTGTTCTATATACTATTCTTCTGCAGTCATTCGTTTTAAGAATAAATTCGTCGTACAGCTCGTTTGACTATAACGAGCGTTTTGCAAGCCTTTTTATTGCGTATTTGGAGTAACTGGCGTTTCTGGAGCCACAGTAAAATTATTTCTGTAACTGTAAAAGTTTAATTTTTACAGGTCTTCACGCTGAAGTCCTTGCTTCGGGTTGCGAGAATGACACTAACAAAGCTATCGATTGACAAGGTAAACGTTAAAGATAAGCGAGTTCTTATACGAGTGGACTTTAATGTACCTCTTAAAGATGGGAAGATAACCAACAACCAACGTATTGTTGCCGCTCTTCCGACAATCAAGGTTTTGTGATCAAGTTTTTATCTGAATATTAAATTCCGCTGCTTAGCTGTTGAATTGTCGTGAAACTTTTAATTATATTTTTGTTATAGTATGCTTTGGATCATGGAGCGAAATCCGTAGTACTTATGTCTCATCTTGGTCGTCCTGATGGTCGAAAACAAGAGAAATTTACATTAAAACCAGTTGTTGCGGAGCTGAAGGCGCTCTTGGGGAAGTATGCATTCAGAAATCACAAATTTTTTTCGTTTAACATAGCGCTGAATTAACTGTCGTTTCTTAAGAGACGTAACGTTTGTTGATGATTGCGTTGGGCCTGCAGCCGAAAAAGTGACGGCTGACCCAGCTCCAGGCAGTGTTATTCTTCTTGAGAATCTGAGGTTTTATAAGGAAGAAGAAGGGAAGGGAGTAAACGAAAAAGGCGAAAAGGTACCATTTGCATAGGAATTTTTAGTTCATTGTATTATTGATTCTTAGACTCATAAACGCTTTGCAGCATCATTGTGGTAAATTCATAGTACTGAATAAGATAACAGAAAGTTTTCCTATGTTTCTCGCTTCATTGTACTGCATTTTTTCTTGTTTAGCATCCTTTCGTCAACTAATACTTTGTAAAAGTTTGCCATCTTCTAAAATTCTGGTAAATTAACTT